GAGAATCAGGCTCCCCACCGAGCAGGGAGCCTGATGCGGGGCTAGATCCCAGGATCCTGGGATCATAACCTGAGTGGAAGGCAGACACTTAACTGGACTGAACCACCCAGGTGCCCCTGTCTTTTCACTTTCTTGATGAAGTTCTTGAAAGCACAAAATTTTTACATTTTTTCATGTCCATTTTTTTCTTTTGTTGCTTGTGCTTTTGTTGTCATATCTGAAAGTCCATTGGGGTACCTGGGTGGCTCAGTTGGGTGGGTGTCTGCCTTCGGCTCAGGTCATGATCCTGGGGTCCTGGGATTGAGCCCTACTCCCTGCTCAGCGGGGAGCCTGTTTCTCTCTCTCCTCCCTGCTCGTGCTCTCTGTAGCTATCTATGTCTCTCTCTCAAATAAATAAATCCTTTTAAAAAATTAACAAAAAATAAATAAAAGCCCATTGCCTAATCCAAGGTTACAATATCTCTATTTTTATTTCAGCTCCTTCAATTTTTTTTTTTTCATTTGTGCCTTTGGTTTTTCTTTGTATTGTGGTTTCTCAACAGTGAGTATAGTTTTTAGATTAGGTCTTCATTCTCCATCTTCCATATTTGTCATCATCTTTCAAAACTTTCATCTCTTTATTATTTTACTTCACATTCTAGGAGAGCTTCTTGGATCTGACCTCCATAGTCACACTGACAGTTCTGTTCTTTATACCCTCCAATATCTATTAAAAAATTATTTTTCATCTTGTGAGTAGTTTAATTCTGCTGTTGAATCTCTATTATGTTGGCAATCCTTGATCCTGCCTATTTCCTTTTTCATCTCATCCTTGTTTTACATCTCAGCCAGATATCTCCTTCAGCACAGAGCTTCCATCCTCTCTCCAAGCACACTTCCATGTATTCACCAACCTGGAAGCTCCTACACCCATGTTTTCTTCTAAAAATTTCATAGTTTTAGCTCTTAGATTTAGGTCTTTGATTCACTTTGAGTTAATTTTTGTACATGGTGTAAGGTAGAGATCCAAATGCACTGTTTTGCATATACACATAATCTGGTTGTCCCAGCACCATTTGTTGAAAAGACTATTCTTTTCCCCAGTGAATTGTCTTAGCACCCTTGCCTAAAATAAATTCACTAAAATGTGAGTATTTATTTCTGAAATCTGTTTTAGTTCATTGATCTCCTATGTCTGTCCTTATGCCAGTACCATACTGTCTTGATTATTATAGGCTTGTAGTATGTTTGCAGTTGGGAAGTGTGAATCCTCCATTTTTTTTTTCTTTTTCAGAATTTTTTTGGCTATTCTGTGTCCCTTGCATTTTTATAGGAATTTTATTAGGATCACTTTTCCATTTCTGCAAAAAAGGCAACTGGTATTTTGATATGAACTGCATTGAATTTGTAGATCAATTTGAGGTGTATTGTTGTCTAATATTAAGTTTTACAATCCACGAACATGGAATGTCTTTCTTTTTTTTAGGTCTTTAAAGTTTCTTTCAATAATATTTTGTAATTTTCAGAATATAAGTTTGATACCTATTTTGTTAAATTTATCCTTAAGTATTTTATTCTTTTTGATGCTATTGTAAATGGGATTGTTTTCTTAATTTCATTTTTGGATGTTCACTACAAGTGTCTAGAAAGGTAGCTGATTGTGTTGATCCCATATTCTGCAACCTTGCTGAAATTGTTTATTCTAACAGAATTTTAGTGGATTCCTTAGATTTTCTATATTCAAAAATCATCCCATATGAAAATAGATAGTTTTATTTTCTCTTATCTAATCTGGATGCCTTTTATTTAATTCTGTTGCCTAATTACTTTGTCTAAAACCTTCATTGTGGGACACCTGGGTGGCTCGGTTGGTTAAGCATCTGCCTTTGGCTCAGGTCATGATCCCAGGATCCTGGGATTGAGTCTCACAGCGGGCTCCTTGCTCAGCAGGGAGCCTGCTTCTCCCTCTGCCTGCTCTGCCTGCTGCTCTCTCTGTTCTCTCTCTCTGACAAATAAATTAATTAATTAAAAATAAATAAATAAATAAAACCTTCATTGCTTTGTAGAAGTATATCCTTGTTCCTGACCTTAAAGGGAAAGCATTTAGTCTATCACCATTTATTATGTTAGCTGTGGAGTTTTTGTGGATGCCTTATATAACATTGAGAAAGTTTCCCTTTTTTGCTAGTTTGTTGAGTGTTTTTATCATGAAAAAAGGTTGGGTGTTAAGTGTTTTTTCTGCATCTGTTGAGATGATCCATGGTTTTTGTTTTTATTCTATTGATACCATGTATTACATTAATTGATTTTCAGGTGTTAAACCAATATTGTATTCCTGGGATAAATCCCACTTGCTCATGGTACATAATCATTTTTATATATTTTTGTTTATTTGTTTTTAAAGAACAGTTTTAAGTTCACAGCAAAGTTGAAAGTATAAAGATTTCCCATATACCCCTTGTCTCCTTGAATGCATAGCCTCCCCCCTTATCAATATCCCCCACCAGAATGGTACATGTATTACAATTTATGGGCCTATATTGACATCATAATCCTCCAAAGGCATAGTTTACATTAGGGTTCACTCTTGATGTTGCACAGTTGATGGAATTGGACAAGTGTATAATGGCATGTATCCATCATTATAGTATCATACAAAGTATTTTCACTGACTTAAAAATCCTCTGTGCTCTGTCTATTCATTGGTCCACTCTCCTGCCCCAACGCATGGCAATCAGTGATCTTTTTACTGTCTCCATAGTTTTGCCTGTTTCAGAATGTCATATAGTTGGAATCATACAGTATGTAGCCTTTTCAGATCAGCTTCTTTCACTTAAGTTATGTGCATTATAAGGTTCCTCCATATCTTTTTATGACTTGATAGTTCATTTCTTTTTACTGCTGAATAATATTCCATTATCTGGATATACCACTATTTATCCATTCACCTACTAAAGGACATTTTGGTTGCTTTTAAGTTTTGGCAATTATGAATAAAGTTGCTATAAACGTCTGTGTTCCCTTTTTATATTTTGTTGGATGAAATTTGTTAGCATTTTGTTGAGGATTTTTACTTCTGTATTAATGAGGGATAATGGCCTGTAGTTTTCTTTTTTTGTCTTTGTTTGGTATTACTATCAAGGTAATACTGGCCTTATAGAATGAGTGTTTTCTCCTTTTCTATTTTGGAAGAGTTTGTGAAGAATTGGTGTTAATTTTTCTTTGTTGTTTGGTAGAATTTACCAGTGAAGCCACATGGGCCAGAGCTTTTTTTTGCGGTTGGGGGGGGTAGTTTTTTGATTACTCATTCAATGTCTTTGTTACAGGTCTATTCAGATTTTCTTCTTTTTTTTCCCCTTGATTCAGGTTCATTAGTTTGTGTCTTTTAGGAATTTGTGTATTTCATGTAAATCACCTAATTTGCTGGCATGCTGTTTGCATAATATTCCCCTCTAATCCTTTTTATTTCTTTGAGGTTAGTAGTAATGTCTCCTCTTTCATTCCTGAGTTTAATGTTTTGAGTCCTCTCTCTCTCTCTCTCTTTTTTTTTAGGTCAGTCAAATGAGAGGTTTGTCAATTTTGTTGATCTTTTCAAAGACCCAAGTTTTGGTTTCACTGATATTTCTATCATTTTTCCAGTCTCTATTTTATTGACTTCCGACCTAATGTTTATTATTTCTTTCTTTTGGGTTACTTCGGCTTTAGTTTGTTCTTTTTCCAGTATCTATAGTTGAAAAGTTAGTGTATTAGTTTGCAATCTTTCTTCTTTTCTAATGTGGGTATTACCTTAATGCAGCTATAGATTTCCCTCTAAGTCTTTCTTTAGTGGCATCACATAAGTTTTATTATATTGTGTCTTCGTTTTCATTCATCTCATAGCATTTAGTAATTTCCATTGTGATTTCTTTATTTTTTCTTGTCCTTTAGTACTTTCACCATGTGTATATTGGTACACACTCATGTGCACATTTGATAGTGCACTTGATGTCCCACATTTCTCTGAGGCTCTGTTTATTTTTCCTCATTCTTTCTCCTCTTTGGTCCTCAGGTTGTAGAATCTCGTGTAAGTCTACAAGTTTGCTAATTCTTTCTTCTGCCGGTTCAGCTCGTCTACTGAGCCTGTCTAGTAATTTTTTCACTTTAGTTATTGTACTTTTCAATTCAGAATTTGTGTGGCTCCTTTTATAACTCCTGTCTCTTTGTTTAGATTCTCTATTTGATGAGACATTCTCAGTATATCATCCTTTTTTTTTTTTTTCAGTTTTTATTTTAAAGATTTTTATTTATTTATTTGAGAGAGAGAGAATGAAAGACAGAGAGCATGAGAGGGAGGAGGGTCAGAGGGAGAAGCA